TTTTAAAGACAACGTTAACTGGTTTTCAGTGAACTAAATGATTAATACTTGGGGAGGACAATTTCTGGTCTCTACAAAATGAGCCAACTAAGTGGAGTTCATTGCATGGATGTGCCAGTGAAAACCTATGTCATTCTAAACCACCTCTTCTTTAGGAATGAATCAGGAGAGAATTAATTCTTTCACTGTGGTTCTTGTGATTTAGTAAATTCTGTTGTCTGGGGAAAGTGTTTAAACACATCTAAAAATCCTATGTTCATAGTCACCAAGTTTTAGCAAAGTGAATGCTATGAATATTGCAGTGATGGGTCTGGTGAAGAAGGCCTTGAACTTGGCACCAAGTTTCAATCAAGCTGTGCACTGACTAGCTATCTGACTTGCAGTAAATCAACCTTCAACTTGAGTCTCAGTTTCTGGTCTATAACACATGGCTCATTGCCCCACCTCACTGGGTTGGAGAGAGTACCTGGATCACAGGAGTTGCTCAATAAACACTTGGGGAAACTGAATAAAGATCAGTCAGTGATGGCTCCAGAAATACCAATGCTAAAGGCATTTTAGTCGGTTATCTTATTAAGCAGTTATCCATATTTCAACGTAATACATGAAGGTGGTGCGATAACTTTAATACAAATAGCATGGAATGCATCAAATGACCACACACTGCTACACTACATGAGGTAGCCTTCCAAATCACTGGAAAATGAAGGCGGGGGAACTACCCCTCATAATTAGTTGGAAAGTTAACAACTGGAACATCTACTGACACTACAGTATCTTTATTATTTTTTCAAACAAATTACAAGAAATAATTCATTTGACCAGCATTCTAGAATTACTGTCAAAGAGAATAACACCTTGAAAAAAATTCATATATGACCATTAATGATTCTAAAAACCATGAAAATCCTCAAGTTTTCCACTTGTTCTCTTAGCCCAGGACAGTAAAACTGCTCATGGTAGGTCTACTCTGAATTTTTGTGGAATTAAATTAAATTGTTGACTCACAAACAACACATGGTGAATAAAATGACACCTCTGGTCACTTTTTAAACAGTCTGCCTTTTAAACAGAAGGATTCTAACAAAATATATGGACCATGAAAATATCAAATGGATTAATTTTGGCTTGTTAGTGGTAAAGAATGCTATTTCACAACTATAAGAGAAAATGTCAAGTCGGGGACTGGAGGGATTGGAGAACAGATTGCCAGAAACAAAGGCAACAAAGAAGGAAATAAAAATGTCTTCTAAACATACTGAAGCAAAACAAATGACTGGCTTTGGGATTTAACATAATACAATCCGATTTGCCTTTGCTCTTTTGCCAATTCTTTTTTCTACTCTAAGATAATATGAATTTCACTTTTTTGAGCCATGATTTCCCTTTATGGAAAAGACTGCTTATAATTAATGGTGATACAGAGATGTTATCAGCAGTTTGGCACATTAACTTTTTATGTTTAGAGACTGTTGTATTTATAATAAATTTTAATGCCAAAAATTAGTTTATTTAGTTCTGGTAAGAGGTAAAACAAAAATAATCAAATTAGAAGAGATGATTGAATTATATCTAAAGAATTAAGAGTGCTTATTTTGGGGATTTAATTTAGTGAGAGTGTTTATTTTCTAGCAAAAATTGTCTTTAATGGGAAAACAATTATTATCATGGAACAACTGGATTTTTTTTAAAGTTTGATAGTTCGGTGTACCAAAGCTAAAGCTGATGATCCACATTTTATCAGGAAATGTACAGAAGAACAAATTGTTTACAATTTATGGTTGAATACTGGCCCCATGATTAAGAATTAGGAAATTATCCTTATAGCAAACAGATCTTAGTTAAACATATTATTACTCTCTGCTGCAAGGTATTATGCAGCTCTCTGGAGGATGCCAGAGTGACCTTGCTAGCTGAATAATCTCAGCCACTCTATCTCAAGTTTTTCGTCTTTGACTTTCCTCCTAGGCCTGGAGGAGTAGGAGCCTATCTTTCAGAAAGATGTTAAAAGAGTACATGAAAAGCTTGCGCAAAAATAAACTATAGCACCTAGGGCTTCTTATAGGGCTTCTGAATTTTTACACTATAATATTTTGGACTTTTCTACCTCGACACATTCAGAGTGAATTTTTGATGAAAAAAAGAGAGAAGTAAATTACACGTGGGATGAAGAGAACCCTTATTATCATTTTAATAGTTTACAGACACATAAAAGGAAGATGCATTCACCATGTGAGGGGACCTAAAACTGAAAATATTCAATAACTTAGTAATAAAAAAATTTAATATAATGTGGAAAATGGAAAACAGGATTTTGAACTAACATGAATATGTAACTTTTCACAAAGGCTTCAGGAACATTTAACGAAGAAAAATAAAACCAAACCATTAGGTGACTTTGTAAGTAACTGAAGTTTGCTTCACCTGTAACATTTTTGACCTTAATGAAAATACTGAGTATAACCATAGACTATAAGAGATCATGGGCAATGAAATTTTAGGCATTAGAAATAACCAACTTTACAAACTTTATAAGCAATCATACCCAAAAGCCCCCATTTTCAGGAGACAACCTATAGATTTAGCATGGATAGGATATGGAGTTTAGGTGGTAGGCATTGTATTAGAATAGAGTTGTCACTGTTATTTATTCTTAACTTTTTCAGGATATTCCTAGATTGTTTTTCTATTGAGAGCAAGCATTTTCAGTGTGTAGAGATTGCCTTCAGGCCCTCTGCTTTTGCTGGGGGGGTGGTTTTGATGTTTTGAATGGGGAGTGATGACTGGTACTCTTCCCACATTCTCCCAATTATCTATACATTATTCCATATCCTCTGCCACTGGGATGCTCTTGCCAGAGCTGTGGGTTCTTCCAAAGCAGTATCCCATTCAGACGTGCAAATAGGAAAATTAAAAAAGGAGGGTTTTTTATTATTATTATTTGAATGACATATGACCTGCTCAATGTTTGCATTTAAATTGGCCAGAATAATTCAGCTCTGGCTTTTAATTTCAGAAGGGTTAATCACCCTAACAAAAGTCAATCAAACTTTAATCCTCAATAAAATTGCTACAGCTTCAATCACCTGCAGGACATTTATTATATTCCTATTTCCATGTGAAAGAATGCATTGCTTTCATTATGCATCACTAATCTTCTAACTCTTTATATTAGCACATTTTACCAAAAATATTAATTCCTTTGAAACTCTGACAAGAGTTCATTTCTACACATCTCAGAAGATAATCCTGTTTAAAAGAATGGGTGCATCAGCTGTGAACCACTTTCCTAGCCCTTTTTAATCCTCATAGACATTCACTACTCCAACTGAGGTCTTACAATAGTAAATCTCAGTTACACAAAACATTATGGAAGTTTAGGTTAAAACAACGTTATATTATTTTAGGAACTTAATCCTCTCTATTGTCTATGACTAGGCCATTCATTATTTCTTTCTGTCTATAATGTTGACCGCATACAAAAGTTATTGATCTGGCAAACATTAAGCAAATGTTAACCACATGTGAATAGTAGGAGAAAGACTTAAATTCATTAATTCATTCACTTGGTAAATATATATTGAGTGGCTACTATATAGAAGATACTAGGAAAGGAGCAAAGTCAAAGCGAAAAAGAAACAGAATAGCATTCTCTGCTGAAAAGAGGATGCTGATACCTAGAATATAACAAAATAATGACTTAAACCTCCACTTTCAGCTTTCCATGTCAACATCATGAAGTTTTAGTAAAGATTAGAAATGTGTTAAATTAATTTTAACCAAAATTTCAATGAACAGTTTTTTAAATTATCTGGACATTTAAGGGTTTTAAAATTCATAATCCCATAAAATCATGCATTTAAAAAAATTTGAGAATATGAAATTTGATTGTTAAATTTTAAAATTAATATATTCAGAACATCTAGTCTCCCATGGTAGGAACAAAGCCATAAGGAAGTTTAAATGGGCTTATTAAAAATATACATGCTGTGCATCAGTTCATTTCCAAAACATCATCATTTCATGATGTTTAAAAACTGCTATTAACACAAAAGCAAATAGCAAAGGTAAAAAAAACAAATTACTGCTTTTGGGGTTGTTGTTGTTTTTTTTTGTCAAGATACACTGGCCTGGAATGACCAAGGAGGGAAAGTAGAAAACCTCTACATAAGCCCCTAATTCTATTGCAAATTGGTTGTCTTGCTATTATAGCAGTGGTGTGACACAGCATAAATAGCCCAAAGTTTTCCTTCCGCTTATTTTTTGAGATGCCTTCCTCTTTGCACTCAGAGGGAAGCCCAGAGGTATATATACACAGAGGCACATGCCCTTCCTCATCAATATTCAAGTTCATTAATTAGCAATATGTAATGGCTATAACTTGGGAAACTCCCCAGAGCTTAAATAGTCTATCAAGCAAAACAAATCACAGTAAAAGGAAACTACGGGTATAACACTCAATGGCCAGACTGACACTGGGGAACAGCACAAAATTTCAAGAAATTCTGATCTTTCTCAACGTTGTAAGGTCAAGATTTCAACCTTCCCTGCCCCTACTTTGAGCATTTTTTGAAACTGAAATAGAATCTCTACATATTCTATAATGATGCATGCTGCATGCTTTTTTCACTCCTATAAGGAGGTTGACACAATAGAATAAAGCAAAGCAATGGCTTTTGCATTGTTAAGCAAAATAAACCCAATGTTACACAATATAAATGTTCAATTGTTATTTGTCCCCTAATAGTTATTGTAAAAATGGATAAAGATTAGTTAGACACAACAGGCAAAACACTGTTTTATATTCCATTCTCAGTTTCAAAAGCCACTTCATTATATTCCAGATTTGGAAAAACCCAAAGATTTCATACAATATGCTGTAAAGGCATATGTGTCTTCTTATGAATCATTTTGGTCATGAAACAAAAAAGAACCCACTGACCATCAAACAAAAATCTTAATAAGGAAGCCCAAGGTGTGATATTATGAGAGAAACATACCTTTGGCTGAACAAGTTCATGACTGCGCATCTTGCCTACACAGCTCTGCCATTCCACCTGGAGCAAAAGTCGACTCCGTGTCCCTTGTGATCTTTGTGACAATGCCATCATATCACTGGCAAATTTTTCGATTAAACTTTGCAGATGTAGTAGCAACTTTGTTAATTATGATATTAGCCAGCTGGCGGGCACAATCAGTCAACCGCTGTAAGAAAGCCAGACAGAGAGACATCTAATCATCGCAACCAGAGCAGATAAATGTTGTTCCTTTCTCATTCGTGTCACAGATTCCTTCCCTTCTGACCCTCTCCTCAGCCATCGACTGTCAAATTTAGATTCCGCGAGCTCCCAGCTTCCCTTTATCCCCGCCTCAGATCTGAAACTCCTGGTTATCAGGAAGACACGCATCACCAGCTGTCTCCGAGCAGGAAAGCAATCAGGTGAACACTGCTTATTATCTTGCATTGCTTTCCGAGGAATGACAAGATTGATTTGGGACCAAGAATGCATTCAGATCTCAGACATGTAGTTCCTAGGATTTTGACTTCAAACAGTAGGGTATGTGCAAAGTTGCAGCACGGGGAACTTCAAACCCAACGTTAAGGATGTAGAGTATTAGAAATTTAAGGAAAATTTTTAGTCTATCAGAGTTCCTTTTCCAGATGCTTTGTATTTCCTTTTCCACCTCTGTGCTGCTACCTTGGAATGTCTGTGGGCAGACCATTACCTGGAGGGGTCAGCGTCATGGCTCACTAGCCTAAGTCAACCCATGGGAACGGTATTCTCACATAATGAAGTTGTCTCCACCTATCCCTTTTTCATCAAGAGTCCTCTATAAGCTCTCATACATAATAATATGAGAAACTACTTTGCGCATCTCAGCTAAGAATAACTTATATGACTTTAGGTTGACAGACCTTTTTATATCCTAATACAAATTTTCCCTTCAAAGAATCCATCTACTAAAATCATACAGAAGTGTGTATCTATGTATCTACTGATTGATTGATTGATAGGCAAATACACACAACATATATATATATATATATATGTGAATTTACTGAAACTGAAATAGGTACCATACATAATAACGTTCCTATACAATGATACAACAATATTTAAAAAATGAAACAATTCAGTTGATCAGGAAAGGGCTTGAGCTGCATGGTAAGTCATTAAACTGATATAATGTTTACTAAAAGATTATTTATCCCCACTGAAATGTTTAAACATCAGTGAAGTAAAACATTTTCACTGTGGAGTTTAAACAAGAATAATATATGATATGATGATAGAGTTATATTCATCAAAACATTAATAGATCTTTCTGGGGTGGAAGAATTTGGTGAAAAGTAAAAATTCAATTCTGAAGTGCATTTTACGTTGGACTTCTACATACGTATCTGGCCCCTAGAGGGAAAAAAATGTTTACCTCTACCTGTGAAAGCTGCAGTTTTGGTGCACTGTATTAATAAATCATGGTATGCGCTCTAAATTTACATTTTATATTCACATGAGGATATTGCTGTAATGGAGAGTCCAAAGACCCTGCACTTGTTTTTTTTTCCCTTAGCCTAAAGGCAAATGTATTTAGATGCAGTGTAAGATATATGCAATGAGGATAAGATGATTTAGGGATCCCCAAGACTACAAAGCAAGATACTTTCAACCTAGGAAGATAAAAGGGTTTCTTAAATCCCCCCAGAAGAGAGGTGGGAGTAGGAACACTTAGAAATTATATATATATATGTATGTATCTTTCCAAAAGTAAGATATTCTTTATCCTTCATGTCTTGGGCTAGTATTAAGAAATAAGTCAGATTCCATAAAAGCAGAAGAACAAAGAAACGTTAGAGGACAAATTGTGTTGTGGCACAAATATCGAGGCTGTACCTGTCACATTCACCATCATCAACGTGGCTGCCACAGTGGAGCCTGGTACATAGTAGTTTCTCAAGAAATACATGTTGATAAAGAATGAATATTTTGTTGCACTCACCATCCTCCTCAAAGCCTAATTCACTTACTTTTTAAATTCAATAATGAAAAATATTATTTTTAGGCCTTCTGTAGATCACTGTATACTAATTGTCATATATCTATTCAAAATTATATTTTTAAAGTGCTGAAAAACAGTTCATACCTAAAAAGAGTTTGAAATAGAACTTCTCTTATGATTCCTAAATGTTTCAATAATGCTCATTATTTGCTCTCATGAAAATAATTCTAACTCAGGAAGCTGGAATGAGTCAAAAAGTTCTTCACTCTCTGACTAAGAAAGAGGACTTTTTCCTAGGAAACTCAAAGAGAATAAAATAAAGTACATGCACATAGTTTTTCACTACAGTAGTATCTATAAGAGGAAATGGAAACAACGTCCCCAAGAGGGAAATTATTAAATAAATTATGGCAATTACTCATATGTAACCCTTTTGTGATACTGAGGATGACTGATAAAACTAACTTATGACTATAAGTGGGTGGAAAAAGCAGAATACACAATTGTACATATACTGATTGCTGAGTATATTTAAACAAAGATGGGAAGAAATGCCAAAATAGGTCATGTGTTCTGTGGGATTACAAAGTATTTTCTTCTCTTATAAAAGCTTGCTTTAACACCATTATAACTGTTAATCTCAAGAAATGGGAATAAAAGTCCCCATCTGTAAAATGTGAACAATAATAAAACCTTCCTGATAAGGTTTTATTAAATCAAATAATGCAAATGAAATCTTTTGCATATTTCCTGGCCTGCAGTTAACATTCATATCTTACTATCTTTACTGTACCACCACATAAATAATCCTGACATGTTTATCATCATTTCCTTTCTTTTCTTTTTTGCATCTTTTATTTTTTTCTATGAAACATTACCAAAAAGTCACTAAATTAAGTAAGGCAATCTGAAGCTAGGAAAACTCAGTATTTGAAACGCATGAGACCAGGCACAGAAATACAGCCTTAATAGTAAAACTAATTTATAAAATAAAAATGATAATAACAATCAATAGATACATGTGACTCTAGTTACAAATTATACTTTGGATAAGACTATTACACCTTTATTATTTTATAAGACTTATAAAGAGGTATTATAAAGAATATTACAAAGATGGCTTCAATTTCAACTTCTCTCTTATGGCTTATGACATGCCCATAAAGAAGCAGGACTTTTAGAAAAACTGATGCTGAAATAGGAGCTGACATCATTTTGAGGAATCTCAGGGCTCTCACTTCCGTGTTCCAAGGCAGGTAGGTACTTGCTGAGTTCTGCTCCCTGTGGGCACAAATTCGGACTCAGAGCAGAATCACCTAAGGCTGTTCTTTCTCAGGGCAGGCCAGTACCACACACCCATGAGTGGTTTATTATAGAAATGCAGAGGTGTGGAGTTTTGTAAAGATGGAAGCAGTCAGTGAGAATAAAGCAATTTAGCCTTGGAAATGCTGTCCATGGAGAACCATGGATAAGTGGATTCACAAGGACCACTCTGCTATAGACTGTCTTCCACCAGCTTTGCAAGAGCCCTGCCTAACCCCTCTGATCACTTGAATATGTTGCATTAAATCTCATAATAGATTTATTTCATTTCTGCCTTTTGGTGTGCTGCATGTAAAATTAGATGCCTAAATTCCCTTCTCTGTTGTGCTGTGGCCTCAGAATCAGACGTCCTGCTTCCATTCCATGCCTGGTTCCTCACTTACTAGCTCTGGGACTTTGGGCAAGTTATTAAACCTCGTTAAGCCTGTGTTAAAAAATAACCCCACCTTGAAATACTATTGTGAAGATTTAATAATACACGTCGATTGCTAAGCATAGTAGGGTATTCAATAAATGCGCTGTCATTGCTGAAATAGCAATAGAATCACTGGGAAGCAGCATAGCTCTGCAATGGGAGCAAGGGATCCAGAATGAAGCTTCTTGGGTGAATTCTGACTTTCTCATTTTAATAATTAGTAACTTAAATAGATCCTGACTGTCTCACTTCAACAATTAATAACAACAATAACACTGTTTCATAGAAGAATTCAATGACTACTACAAAGAACTTACCCTATAGTAAATGTTTGCAAATATTATTATTGCTCTGCCTACTATGCTAATTGGCTATTTCTTCCCCATTGCTTATCTAATGTAGAGTAAAAATAAATCAGGATGTGAATGTGAAGACCTACAAAGACATATATTAACATATGCTTGACAATATATAGGACAAGGATCCTCATCACAGTACTATTTGTAATAGCAAAAGACTAAGAATGATCTAAAAAGTCACCAAAGGTAATTGGTTAAATAAGGGATGGTATATCCATACTGTGAAATGCCATTCAAATGAATGAAGTACTGGTATGAAATTGTTTCTATGATACATTTTAAGGAAAATAAAGTGGTGCAGAATCATGTATATTATATGTCATTTTGTTTGGTAAGGATTTGTACATAATGTTTGGACTCTGAGATAATCACTCTGAAAAATATACACGAAGCTGCTGATGAAAAGCTTCAGTCAGGAAACTGGTGCTTGGGAGACAGGAATGGAAGAACTACTTTTCACAGTATACTCTTTGCTATCATATGAATTTTTGTTCTGTAAAACGTTAACAAATATAACAGCTTTAAAAAATGCAATTACCACTGAGTGACTATGCAGTCCATTTCATTTCCGATATAAAAAAAACCTAGACACCCTCCACTTCTCATATTAGTGGACATGATTCACCAGCTTATGTCCGCTCAACTGATCCACAGGACACACAGTGCTTTCTGAACTCCCAATAAGTGCCAGATGTTGATATTCCTGTAGCATCTTTCTCAAAAGATGTCTTCCTTATAAAGGATTTAATTCAACACATGAGAGATAAATTGCATTCCTACATTGTGGACAATCCTAGAGTCATTTAAATTGCATTCCTACATTCTGGACAATCCTAGAGTCATTTAAATTGCATTCCTACATTCTGGACAATTCTAGAGTCATTTAAAGGAAGGAGTCCTCTTCATGTTTTACATGTACAAATACTTGTCCTCAGACAGGCAGTTCATGCTCAAGGCTACTAGATGCCAGCAGTACATCCACAGCTAAGTGTTTCTCATGAAGGCACAAGATGCCCTGTTGAGCACATATCCCTAGTAGATGATAAATTGTGAACTAATAACCTGAAAGTCTGACGCGGGCTTAA